CAAATGTCAATGAGTGATTAGCAATACAAAATGATTGCGGCCTTTCGAGAACAATGCAAATTAACAGTGGTATATTGACTATTCAACGCATCTTAATGAAAAATTATTCAACATATAGAAATTGAATAATTTTTCATTGAATGAAAAATTATACAACAATAAGTCAACGGACTTAGCAGATAGAACGTGTCATACAGTCGGTCTAGATTCAAAAACAGATATTTTGCAAGAATTTTTGTAAAAAAAATTTAATGCAAAATATTTTAAATTGACTTGTTAAGATATCTGAAATGCTTTTTGAAATTTTTACGATATAAGTAGTGTGTTAATTGAATATTATTTTTATTATCTTCGGTGCAAGCCAATAAATAAATAAATAACGCACATACTCATAGCCCCGCAGTAGGTAAACCCTGTATCGCGGGTGCCATGGATACATACATAGAACATACACAACAAATTACACCCAAACAGCACACGAGAGAAATAAATGTAGACCATACAAATATTTTTCCCGGCCCGGGAATCGAACCCGGGACCTCTGCGTGGCAGAACAGCATGGTGACCTTTCGGCCTCGGAGGCAGTTATATATTCAGCAATACTTGTATTTTTTTAAACCGTGGTAGCCTAATGGTTTGACCTACCACCTCACAAGCAGAGGACGTGGCGTCGAATCCGGGCTCGCCTCTGCGTTTTCGGAATTTATGTTCGAAATTTAATTTGAAATTTACCATAAGCTTTTCGGCGAGGGAAAACATCGCGATGAAACCTGCACGACGAAGAAGGTTCATAACCCTCGAAAAACGAGTGAAGTCTCCAACGAGCATTTTGCCAGCGTGGCGGACTATGGCCTAAACTCTCGGCTGAGCGGACACCCGTGCTACTAACAGTGGGATAAATGGGTTGATGATGATGACTTGTATCTTTTGTTTCTTGATTTATAGCTTTAATGAGTGTGAGCGCCTCGAACTATGCATTTTAGTCTAATTTTGTTGTAGGTAACGCGCCATACTCGTATGAGAAAAGACGTGCGACCAATCGGTGTTTAACAACTTTTTTAATGGCTTCGTCTGCGTAGAGTACTTCTAGTAGCCTGCTATACTCTGCCGTCCACTAACGCGGCTAAGTGACAAATAGTCAAATATCCGTTTTAAATAGCAAAAATAAAGCACAAAATTCTCTTTTAAAAACAGTTAAAATTAGTAAACGTGTTCGACTTATCTGAACTTACCCTAACGATATTTAGCTGAAGTATCATTGAACAATTTCAATATTCTAAGGGTCGTATTCCAGAACTCTACTCAATGCTCAAGTCAGGACTTGAGTATTGCAGTGAGCACTGAAAATCAAACTCAAGTCCTTGCCATTAGGGTCGTATTTCCAGTGCTTGAAATCATACTCAAGTCAGCTCAAATCCTGACTTGAGCATTGAGTACAGTTCTGGAATACAACCCTAAAACTGGGTTATGGTTGTTTATGATATGTAATAAAAATATTTTGTCACTTAGCCACGGTTTCGTTCGCGGACGGCAGTACTATACTAATATTCATAGTTTATTGGTTCTTTACACAAACTTTTATCCTTTATTTCACTCCTATTAAGATTTATTTTTTGTGACAAAAAGTGGCCTAAGTCCTTCTCCTAGATCCAAATTGGTCAAAATTGGTTCAGCGGTTTAGACGTGAAAGCGTAACAGACAGAGTTACTTTCGAATTTATAATATTAGGATGATCGTTAATTTGAACTGTCAACTTTACAACATTACAGTTCAATTTGAGAATTATTATTCTGACGATAACAACTTCTAAAAAACATGATTAACATATACTAAGTTACATTATAATATACAGTTTACGTATACTCGTATTCTTGTTTCGCTTTAATCGTTTCGTTAACTAACAATTAAGTGCACCCAATAACTATGTGTAATAAATAACTTGCCACAAATCAAGTGTGGTATTTAGTTCGTTATCTACCCATTTACATACATGTGCTAATTTTGAGAATGTTTGGGTATCTGATAAGTCAGTACAGTTTTAGAAACATCATATATATTACTATATCATTAGATAACATCATATACGTTGCTCAAGACCCCAAAGTAAGTAGGTAACTTACTAAAGCACTTGTGTTATGGAAATCGGAAACAACGACGGTACCACAAACACCTGAGACAATATAGAAAAGTTAGCTTTTCTACATTAAAAAAATATGATACCTAGTGACGGGACGAATAAGTCATGCGCCTGATGGAAAGCGACACGCCTGTCCAGAATAGTCGCAGTGCCACTTAGAGCTTAAAATCTGAGGGGCACTTCCACTGCGCCCGTCACCCTGAGACATAAATTCCCATGTGCCTGTAATTTCACAAGCACCCTCACCCTTCAAAACCGGAACACAGTAATGGTAACATTACTGCTTGGCGGCGGAAATAGGTAAGGTGGCCGTACTTTCATGGACGAACTCTTTCACAAGGAGCTCTACTGCTGCTACATTGACCGGGATGGTATCGAACCCCTCTGATGTGAGATGGCGACTCATGAAAACCGGTATACAAGCCACTCGACCACGGAGACCGTTAAACTAAAATACTTTTCTTGCCGTAGTGCTTATTATTGATTCAATGTAAAATGTTAAATGCATGTAGATCATTGAAATTTTGCCAATAGGTATTGAAAATCACTATGGAAAAGCAGTAGGCGGCAACGACACAGGAAGCGCTTGGAAATCGCACTGTAAAGCCTGTGGTTGATTATTTGAGATTCGTATAGCGGAATTGGATACCCCGTACTATCTTCTTCTTTTGCCTGGCCTTTTTCCCATTTAGTTGGGGTCGGCCCTTCTGGTCACTCTTTTCCAAGACGGTCTGTCCTGGGTCGTCTGTGGTCTTTCGAGGTATATCTATGTGATGATGTAAGCCGGGGTCTACCACGGCCCTTGGGCTGGTTACTCATGTCAAGGACTTTGCTTGTCATGTGATCAGGAGATCGTCGCATAACATGTCCGTACTACCTAAGTCGGCTCTCTAGCTACTTCTTCGGGATAGGCCAGGGTACCCCGTACTGTGATATATGTACATTCTAATACTTAATTTTATGGTAAACGGTGTTACTCTCCATGGACGGTTTAATAGTCTAGCTCTTAAATAAGAATTGAAAATATCTGTTGGTGCTGTTGAGCATCGTACCCATGATCCCATACATAGAAGGCAAAATAGATTGCTACTGTTTGGTTGTAGCATTCAATAGCGAATAATAAAAAGGCCGTAACTGGGTAATGTAAGGATGTACTTGACTAAATAGGTACGTAGTTGTTAATAATACCTATTTGATAATTTCATTATTAGTTTTATCTATCGATATACTCAAGGATTTGTTTATAAATACTTCTATTGGGGTCAAGAATTTGAGTGTGAAGATAGGTATTAGTTTTCAAGACTTACTTTTCCTCTCTGTTTGTGTCTATCCGATACATCGTTATGTGGAAAAATGTTCGATTTAAGATTAATTTAAATCATAAATTTTCATTGACACGGACTGTTTGTGGGATTCCGTAACATTGCGCATACAATGGTGTTAAAAATAACGCTATTATTATAATAATAGCTTTGAGAATCAACCACAAAATATGCTAAAAAAAAAAGAAAATCATAAACTCCCTAAAAAAGCCATAAAGCGAAGTGCTGCAATATGAATTTGTTGTTTTGCTTTACCCTTGAACTCAGACGATTTGTTAAAACCATTGGTACACTTACTAAATCAATCACTACATCTTATCAATTATACCGGGACATAAAGGGAAAGGGTGTTGAAAAATTTCCACGCCTTACGTTGAGTTATCAGGACCTGAGTGATTTCAAAGTGCGTAAACCATTTGGTGAAGGTGGTTTCAACAAACACACTGTATCGCCGAGTAGTAAAGTGTTATTTTGGTGTCAAGTACTACACTTAACTGTTCATAATTTCTTATCCTTTTGGTAATCTTTTGTTTTACCCTGGTTGGTAGTTATTTTTTATTTTTTATGATTCCAACAAAAGTCTTTGAATTCGCAAAGTGGTTCCAGATTTTTCACAAATTGTAAGACATTGCGTCTCTAGTATTATTTATGCTCACTGATTCCAAGTGACGGGACAAACAAGTCGTACGCCTGGTGGTAAGCGACACGCCTGCCCATACAATTGCAGTGCCACTTAGAGCTTTCAATATCGCAAAGGGTATGAGCTATCTGAGGGGCACTGCCACTGCGCCCGTCACCCTGACTCATAAGTTGAGAAGTCCCATGTGCCTGTAATTTCACCAGCACCCTTACCCTTCAAAACCGGAATGTAGTAATGCTCACTTTGCTGCTTACTTTAATTATACGCTATGTCACCATACAAATACAACCATATTTCATTTAATGTAAACAGGTTTCCATTTTAAGGGTGTGAAAATCGTAAAATGTGTGTTGATACATGTTTGTTGCAGGCCTTGTTCTAACTTCAAATCCATAATAAATGCATTCTACTTGAGGTCAATCTTTGAATCTAATTTACCTGTTTGCTGTATTATGTACGAGTATGAGCAATTTTAACGCGTTGTATAGGCATAAATAGAGTTTGTAATAAAAGAACGTAAACTACTAAATTGTAAAATAAATTGACCATTCTGGTTGTCCTTTACTTTACAATACATAGTGTTTTAATATTCGCATTCTCTAAACTTGTTTTTAAAATGTTTCTAGATTAGAATGTTTTCGTTATTCCCCACAGTTCTCTAACATTTACACAAATCTAGTTTGTATTATATTTTATCTATAAAACTTTTAGTAAAATATATTTATCGACTGTGACAATGAAACTATTAAATTATAATTTAAATCAATATCGCTATCATTGACGGCATCTTTTATCAAATGAAACCGAAAATTACGTAACAGTGAAGGCGGATCATTCTCCTTGATCTCCAGATAAAATAATTGTGACAAGGTTGCTAATTGACATTGTACTTTGTTCACAGAAAACTATTCTGGACAGCATCAGTCAAGATGACAGTTCGTTCACGGGCGATGGATATACATCATTGGCGATCATTTATGCCACTCTTGCTATTTGCAACTGGATGGCACCCTCCGTGATCACCATCACTGGGCCTCGAGGCGCAATGCTTATTGGAGCTACCACTTATTTGTAAGTTTCATAGTAGACGTTTATTTAAAACAAAATGATATCAAGTAACGGGACTAACATGTCATGATAAACGACATGCCTGTTCATAATGGTTGCAGTGCCACTCAGAGCTTTCAATCGCAAGGATCTCAGGGGCACTGCCACTGCGCCCGTCACTTCGTGACATAAATTAACAAGTCCCATGTGCCTGTAATTTCACCAGCACCCTTCAAAACTGAAACGCAGTAATGCTAACGTTACTGCTTGGCGGCAGAAATACGTAAGGTGGCAGTACTTCCATGGATGAACTTTTTCATGAGGAGCTCTACTGCTACGTTCTTTGACTGAAGTAGTTGAATTATAATATTTTATTTTTGTTGAATTACCTATTATGTTTTACTATCACGATATTCGTCTATTTTTTGGGAAAGTACTCCACGATAACGCCGGCCAAATTGTAAACCAATTATGATGATTCTTGACAATAACATGTTGGAAAGAGGGCACCTCAGTAGCAGTCTCATTTAAGTTTAAAGAAAATATTCCACCTCCAAGTGTGGCAAACTAGGGGATGAGTCCGGTTTCGCCCATTTTTCGGTAACCAATTTCAACAGAACTTGACAAATAGATGCAATTCCAAGAACTTTTGAGGTCGTCTGTAAAGAGTAATAAAAATCTAACAAACACAAGGAAAAAATCTTTCGACACGGTTGGAATCTAACAAGCGTCTGTAGCCTCAATGTGGCTTACACTCTGCCAGTTGAGCTGCGGATGCTAATTCCATTATATTTCTTATGTAATATTAGACAGTATTCTTTGTTAATTTGCGTCATTATGTAGTCTAGTCTCTTAATTTCCTTGTTGTGTTTTTGTTAAAAGTCATTCATTGGTGAAATTGCGTGGAATCTCTGTAGAAACATTTCTTATTGCGGGCTGTCAAATGAGTTTCATGAGTGATATAATCTAAAAACAAACACTTACGGCTCATCAGATGCTAACTACTATATAAGGAACGAGACACCTGTTCGCTTTCACTCTCCATTCACACTTTGCTGACGTCATGCGCACCTTTACCGCAAAGGCTTTGCGTAACAGCTTATACACAAATATGAACGAGAATACATTGCTTTGACCTAACAATATTTTAATATTTATTTGTGTGAATGGAATAGAGTTCCCACGTTTGTACCGCAACGTGGTCATTTGCAGATGTAGACAATGCTATACTCAATACTTTTATTCTTTTTTTAATGACACCAAGAGACGGGACGACCAAGTCGTGCGTCTGGTGGTAAGCGACACGCATATCCATAACAGTTGCAGTGCCGCTCAGACCTTTATATCTCAAAGATCTGAGGGGCACTGCCACTGCGTCCGTCAGACATTAGTAGACAAGTCCCATGTGCCTGTAATTTCACCTTTCCCTTACCCTTCCAAACCGTAATGCAGTTATGCTCACATTACTGCTTGGCGGCAGAAATAGGTAAGGTGGCAGTACTTCCCTGGACGAACTCTTTCACAAGGAGCTCTACAGCTACTATTCATTATTATCATTATTATTTGTGAGTATAGTCATAAACAAAATTTTTGGGGCATCAAAAAGAAAAAAATATCGTAAGCGGCATAGAGTTGGATTTAAATCTCAAGTGTCAAGCTTGACGTGCTCTTGACTTTTAGAGGATGGAAAAAAAATAAATGAAAGGAGCTACCCTGACTACGGAATGAACGTGCATACCTAAACAAAATTTGAACGAACAGAGGGCGGATTTCTTTAGTGTCGTACCATAATCTATCGATAAGTCATTACTGATTTAAGTGAATCTTTAATACTTCCATTTAATTTTGGAAATAAATGAAAGTAGTAATATTATCAATAATAATATTATTATCATACGTTTATTTGCTTAAAACATGGTATAACAGGAGATGTAACAAGAGACAGTGTTAGTATAAACATGTTTCGCATATATTAAATAGCATACAAATGTCTGATTATACAATGTCCATTGACTACTATTGGCCGAGCGCCTTTGATTTGTGCAGAAAAATCAACACTTCTCCGAAGTGAAATAAGTAGTCACGAGCGACTGCGAGTTGTGACAAGCCATGTCAAACGAGCTCTATACATGTTAGCGCTTGCCTTCACACGGTCAGCTAGGCGAGTGACACTGTCTATACGTTGGTATAGGCGTTCGCCCGGGAACGTTAGACTAGCAAATACAATTATTGCTGGCTTTATTTAAAATAAGAATTTTTAGTAGTTAGAGTTGTCTGTGGGAAAAATCGGAAACGAATGGATAATTTTGTTTTCAGGAACTGAGAATGCAACCGCAAACTACTGCTACTAACTACTAAACTAACAAGACTCATTTGCAACTTAGCAAATGAGTCTTGTTTAATCTAAATTAAATATAAAATTATTTACCACTAAACCTAATGATAGAATTACATTATCATGTAATCTAGTTACATTCAAAGTTATGTTAAAAATTCTCTTCAAAATGAAGAGAATAAAGAAGATGGTCTATGATTCAATGTTTTTATTCGGCACTATTATACGGCGGTATGATTTTCAATCATTCTTTTTTCTTTTTGAAGAGTAAAAATAATAATAATAAAATAATAAAAAGCTCGTAGTGAATTATTTTAATAACAGAACATCGATAATATGTACGGTTCCAAGAACAACACTATATCAAAATAATCGTTAACAACATTATCAAAATATACAAACAAACAGGTAATCTGAAGAAAGCAAAGCAAAATTTGGCAAGATTTATGAATAAACTACTTAAATATGTCTAATTACATGAAATATCTGGGCTTTTGTGTGATTTAAAGACAGAAAAATAACTCGTGCCTGTACAATGTTACATTCGGTCGATCTTCGCTTTTTCAAATGCCACATCCCGTAATGCTGCAGTGACGAATTTTATTAATACCTAATTGTTCTCACTGTCAACATTTTTGTCCAATTTATTACAATACATGCGAATAATTCAATAAATTACTTGGAAAAATATTTGTTTTGACATTTGATGTACTTTTCTTTGACAACCGTATCATGTACCTAATGTACTGCGAAATGGACACGGTTTATTTTTACATTGACATTTAAGGTGACGTTACATATTTTCGATTCCCATGTTTGACACAGACCAATGTAATGCTATCTCGTTTGGCTTAAGACGGCACGCAGTAGTTAAACAAAGACAATAACATGTTTATGTTTTCAACGTCGAAATGCATCATATACATATAACGTCTGATTTATATATGTCGACATAACATGTCCTTTAGTTTCCATAGTCTAAGTCTTGACCCTATAAGTTCTTCAGAGTTAATGGCAGTTCTCAACATGAGCCCTGTAAGAGCATTACAAAAACATAAAAATAAAATTACAGATGTTGAATAAAATGAGTTATTAACAAATAATATACACAATATCTTATTGAATAATAAATGACATTATAAAATTAGTAAGTTGAAACTAAATCTGCATTTCTTAGTCTCTGAAACAATAACCAAGAGTAAAATAACTATTGTAATATGACGTACGTACGTACGTACGTGACTTACTGAAACTGTTAGTCGCATTTCTGTTTTTTATATATACGAGTACCTACGAGAAATTGACAACAATTAGACAGCAGGTCAATTATAAGAGTACACGTGATTGAGTGTGCGTATCCAATTTTGTTTTACTGTTGCTTCTGGTAGTTGTTCCGGCTCGAAGGACCTTGGATTAGTCTTTGTTACGAATGCATGCTACGCTAGCCATTTTACATCTTATAGTGTTTATACAGGCACACGTAATCTCTTTTCACTTTTTAGTTATAAAAAACAGGTTCAACGTCTGCTGTAGCCTGAGTTATGTAATTTAATGATTAAGCCGGTAACAACTATGCTCATGAATATGTTAAGAGAAACGCTAAAAAAGATTTGATTATGATATACTCCGTCGAACCATTTATTTAACTTTTGACGGCTCGAATTCTAATCAATTAGTGATGTCCTAATGCGTTTCCGATTCGTTTTTTTATAACAATCGGTTTTGTTTCTGAAGAAGCGTTAATCGTGAATGTGAGCGGGGTCAAAAAGGAAGATATTTTCTGATTGGGATTGCGATGTTGCGTTTGACAATTTGCGTACTCAAGAATTAATAATTAATGTTAATGAGTATTGAAATGATCCGACGATTCAATATAATAAACAATAACAATTTATTATAATTATTAGTAATTTATTTAATTTCATTATAATTTATTAGACAGGTACCAAAATTTACGAACTTGAATAATCTTCCTTGTATAATCTGTTAACTTGATAAATATCGGAGCTAAAGATCACGTCGCTTCATTTCACGCATTTTTGTGTATGGTTGTATGTTAATAATTACGGAAGTTCGGAAGTTTTTCGAAAGACGATTAAGAGTGATGCCACACCATGCTTTGCGTCGGCTTTTTACCTACTACATATAAATTTAACTGCGTCCGTGGCCGAACGGTTACTGGACTGCCATGCAGATGTCCCGGGTTTGATTCCCGGGCCGGGAGTATGGCCTACATTTATTTCTCTCCTGTTTTGTTTTGTAATTTGTGGTGTAATTTGTTGTTGTTTATGTGTCCATGGCACCTGACATAGAGGGTTTCCCTAGTGCGGGGTTATTAAAAAAAAGAAAAAGAAAAAGATAAAAATAAAGAAATTAGGATGACATGCCACATGGTGCGTTGAAACAGCGCGCACCCACCGCAAGAAACTTAGTACGTTGAAATCAGTCTTGCGACGAAAGCAACACACGTGTGGCATCGCTCTAAAGGTGATATATTTATTTAAGACAGTTTTAGCCAGGCAGTATTCATTTATTCGATAAGTATTGGTAATTCCGTGTTTGTTGTTGAGGATTAAATTCTCTACACTCTACGAGTGGATTCCTCAATAGTTTAGTACTTTTTAAAAACCTAGCGTTTTTAACGATTTCGTAGTAATGAATAAGAAAGTGTACTATAAGAAAGTATTAA